ATAAAACAACGCTACAACGTTGGTGTGCTAGATATGGGGGCCATGTTCAGACTTGGAATTAACTTCCAGGTCATTTGATCACTAGCTGTTATTAGATACACTTGTAGAGAAAGATTCCAACACCAGGTGTAAACTGCCAAACATATAATCCAATCGCTAAAAGATCAGTGCAAAAAAACTGAATTAGGTGCGTGTGTGGCAAAAGCACAGGATAAATCTTTCACAATTATATAACGAAGAAGAAATGTTGCAATTAGCCAGCCCTAACCTCTCAAGTCCTAGGTATATTAAGTCACAGTAATAATAAAAACCATACCTTCCATGCCAGGCGACTGTGAAAGGCCAGTGCTGTGACATGACCACCACTCATAAATATTATTAACCAACATTTCACCACAATACCAGTACATTTTCTTCTGATCACTTTCTCATTACTAAAAAAAATCTGCATTGATCAAATAGCATTATCAAAAAAAAAAAAAAAAGACGAACAGTTTTGTCTTTAAATGTCGTTTCTCCTTTCTGCTGAAGATTGTCTAAACAGTCTCCAATCAATTCCATCCATCCATCTTCAACCGCTTATCCGGGGCCGGGTCGTGGGGGCAACAGTCTGAGCAGGGACACCCAGACTTCCCTCTCCCTCGACACTTCCTCCAGCTCTTCTGGGGCAACCCCAAGGCGTTCCCAGGTCAGCCGAGCGACGTAGTCGCTCCAGCGTGTCCTAGGTCTTCCCCTAGGTCTCTTCCCAGAGGGACGGCACCCGAGCACCTCCCGAGGGAGGCGTCCGGGGGGCATGCGATGTAAATGCCCAAGCCACCTCAGCTGACTCCTCTCGATGTGGAGGAGCAGCGGCTCTACTTCGAGCTCCTCCCGCGTGACAGAGCTCCTCACCCTATCTCTAAGGGAGCGCTCTGCCACCCTGCGGAGAAAGCTCATTTCAGCCGCTTGAATCCTTGATCTCGTTCTTTCGGTCATGACCCACAACTCATGACCATAGGTGAGGGTAGGAACGTAGATTGACCGGTAAATTGAGAGCTTCGCTTTTCGGCTCAGCTCCTTCTTCACCACAACGGACCGATACAGCGACCGCATTACTGCGGCCGCAGCACCGATCCGCCTGTCAATCTCACGCTCGATTCTACCGTCACTCGTGAACAAGACCCCCAGATATTTGAACTCCTCCACCTGAGGCAGGACTTCATCCCCGACCCGAAGGGTGCATACCACCTTTTTCCGGTCGAGAACCATGGCCTCGGACTTAGAGGTGCTAATTTTCATCCCAGCTGCGTTACACTCTACTGCAAACCGCCCCAGTGCATGCTGCAGGTCCTGGTTCGAAGAAGCCAACAACACCACATCATCTGCAAAAAGCAGAGATGAAATCCGGTGGCTACCGAACTGGACCCCACCCGACACCTGGCTGCGCCTAGAAATTCTGTCCATGAAAATAATGAACAGAACCGGTGACAAAGG